GTTGATGTGTGTGAAACTTTGCTGTCTGACTATCAGGACCACTTGAAATGCATCATTACTGGAGATGAATCTTGTATTTACGCATACGACCCTGAAACCACCGACCAATCCAGCGAATATCGTGCAAAAGGTGAAGCAAGACCGAAAAGACCACGGCAAAGTCGATCGAAAATCAAGGTCATGTTGACAGTTTTCTTTGATTATCGTGGTGTAGTGCACTATGAATTCCTTCCGCCGGGCCAAACTGTCAACAAAGAATATTATTTNGTCATGTTGACAGTTTTCTTTGATTATCGTGGTGTAGTGCACTATGAATTCCTTCCGCCGGGCCAAACTGTCAACAAAGAATATTATTTAAGCGGTATGCGTCGTTTGCGTGAAGCTATTCGTCTGAAACGGCCGGAATTATGGGCGAACAACTCTTGGTTCCTTCATCACGATAATGCACCATGTGATACTGCATTGGTTCTTCGCGACTTTTTTGCCAAAAACTCGACTCATATCGTTCCGCAACCACCGTATTCGCCTGATTTGGCTCCGTGCGACTTCTGGCTATTCAGCAAACTCAAAAGGCCAATGCGGGGACGCCATTTTGACACGATTGAGGAGATAAAAACCGAATCGAAGAAGGTCTTAAAGGCTATACCGGAAAAAGACTATTCCAACTGTTTCGAGGACTGGAAAAAGCGATGGAAACAGTGCGTTTTATCGGACGGGGATTACTTTGAAGGGGTGAAATTGATTTGGAAGAATAAATAAAGATTTACATTTTATAAACAAATCCACCTTACTTTTTGATCACAGTAGTATACTGATCTTTTGTTCTTTCAAGCATTCTATCATTAGTAAAAGAAACATACTCTTTTCAATAGTACCTCAATACCTTTCAACATTACAGCCATCTAACATTAAAATTAACTCGTGTGTGTGTGAGTGACAGTAACACGCTATTTATTGAATAATGTTCAATTTGTAAAATATGTATATATATATACAGGGTGGGGCATTTTAAACAGGTCACCTGAATAACTCGCTTATTTTTGAATATAGGAGAAAATGCATTAGACCAAACTTACTTGGTCTCAGGGGGCTCATATATATATAATCTGGTATTACCAAATTTTCTGTAGGTGGAGGCGTCAAGGAGATATAAAGGTCAATTCTATTTTTTTAAATAGAACAGTAAGTTTTTTTACTTACATTCTGATAGAGTGTTTCGAGGCGAATTATTGAACTATTATGAAGGTCATTCAAGGTCACCCAAAGTCAACTGCAAAAGAAAATAAATTGTCTCAGAGTACTTTCCGAATACTTGTGTATCACGAGTGTGTATTTCGTGACACGGGTCACAAAAGATAAACATTCAATCACATTGTACCCTTATCTGTCTCCTCGAACATTTATTGGTAATTTGACTACCGACTAGAGTACAGCTTCGTAATATTTATTCAGTCTATGTGTTCAGTTTTCTAACATGCGTTACACGATAGCAGAGAAAGTAGAAATGGTTCTTATTTATGGTGAATGTCATAGAATTATGAGGGAAGCGGTACGTGTGTATGGTGAAAGATTTCCTGATCGTAATAATAGACCTTCACTTTCTGTGTTTAGAAACATTATAAAAAAGTTCCAAGAAACTGGAACTGTGGATAACAAAACACGTAATCTTGCCAAACGAGCAACTGATGATGGAAACTCGATAAATATTGTAATACGAGATCCACATGTTAGTACAAGACAACTGGAACGCAAAAGTGGGATCAGTCGACGAAGTATTTTACGAATATTACACATTAACAAATTTCACCCGTTCCACATATCACTTCATCAACAATTAACTGAAAATGATTATACAAAACGTTTACAATTTTGTGTATGGGGCTTACGAAAACTACAAGACGATGAAATGTTCTTGAGTAAAATTTATTTTATTTACCGATGAGGCCACATTTATAAACCATGGAGCAGTTACTGGTCAGTAGATAATCCACAATGGTTGAGAGAAGTCGACAAACAGAGACCTTGGTCTGTAAACGTCTCGTGCGGCCTTCTTCATAATAAAATAATTGGTCCATATTTTATTGATGGCACGCTATAAATAGTAGTAAGTACCTCAGAATCTTAGAAGACGTTTTGCCAGAATTGTTAGAAGACACTTCACTGGACATATGACAATCCATGTGGTTCCAGCAAGACGGATGTCCTGCTCATTCAGCACGCAATGTTACAGAATTTCTAAATAGAAAATTTGGAGATTGTTGGATAGGTCGATCAGGAAGTAACAAATGGCCGACACGATCCCCAGACCTGACACCTCTCGATTTTTATTTGTGGGGAAAATTAAAGGCAGAAGTGTACCGTGAAAAATCAACTACCAAACTTGACATGCAAGAACGTATAAGAAGAGCTTGCTCTGTAATAGATACAAATGAAATTTTCCAGGCAGTGTCATCAGTATTGCAACAATTTAGACTATGTATCCATGTTCAAGGTCGCCATTTTGAATACTTGTAGTAGCAGTATTAAAGTATCCAAGTATTCGAAGTGTGCTTTGAAATAATCAGTTTTCTCTTGCAGTTAACTTTGGGTGACCTTGAATGACCTTCATAATAGTTCATTGTATTCGCCTCGAAACACTCTATCAGAATGTAAATAAAAAAACTTACCGTTCCATTTAAAAAAACAGAATTGACCTTCATATCTCCTTGACGCCTCCACCTACAGAAAAATTGGTAATATATCAGATTTTTTTTTTATGAGCCCCCCGATACCAAGTAAGTTTGGTCTAATGCATTTTCTCCTATCTTCAAAAACAAGCGAGTTATTCAGGTGACCTGTTTAAAATGCCCCACCCTGTGATATATATTCTCGCAACTTGCAAACAAAAACAAACTTAAGCAATCTAGGGCAGTCGGCAAACCTAAAATACAGCAGCCAGCATATCGGTGTACATTAGCACTTTACCTGCCACTGGTACAACAGTTGTGCAGTGTCACAAACTTACGTTAACGGCCGCTGGTACAATATGTGTATCATGTAGAGCTGCCGAGTACTCGCAAAAAAACGACTATGTTAAAAAACTATATCATGTTTGGTCTCATTTTAATCAATATGTTTAAAAAATTCAGTTTTAAAATGTTAAAATTAAAAGAGTTATGTTATCATATTATGAGTTGTCATTCCGGGAATTCTAGTCAAAGGAGCTGACCAGACCGACTCCGTCAAACCTTAGCATAGGCGTAAGAATATCACAGGGACAATATAAGCAAGCCTCTAACACAGACTATTTAGGGAGAATTTACTTTACATTCTTGATCACTGGACTGTATGCAAGTTACTTTTTTTTATGCAAGTTATAAATTAAAATGAGGAACAAATTATTTCAATTATCTACAAGATAATTTATTGCAAGATTATTGCAAGATTTTTTATTGCAAAAATTCGATGCTGCAACATTACCATTTTAAGAACATATTTTTTCTACGGATTAATGACCCTTTAAAGCTTCGCAGACCAAGCAAATTATTCATTTCAAATAATCACGTCATAGCGCAGCTTTAAAAATTTCAGCTTTAAAAAGTGGTTTGAAAAATATATATTTTAAAGTGTTGGACTTCGACTTGTTTTTCAATTGTTTTTATACTCTTATACATTAGAATTATTTGCTACACATAGTAGTTATATATAATGTTCATTGTAAAATTATATACAGTTGTTAAAGTATGGAAATTACGGTGCAATAAAAATTAAATAGACATGAATTTTTTATTTTTGATATAATTATACAGTTATTCTTTTTTACATGGAGAATCTGAATTAATTAGTTGCATATTTCGACTTACAATTTTATGCTCAATTGCGCGACGTAAACGGGACGCATCCATTTTCTTTCATACATATACAGAGTCCAACGGAATAAGATGTATAAGCGGGTTATAGAGTACTGCCTGATGAAGAAATAAGAAAACTAAGAAAAAGCAAAATAAGATTTTTCAACCGAGGCTTTATTTTCGAGAAAAATAGGTTTTAGAAATCGTACTGTTGAATAGGAATTTAAGTGGCACGTCTGTTCATGGTCTACCAATTCTACTTTTCGCCATACATAAGCCACGCGAACATGGTAGATCTTCCAACTCGTTTTTCCTGAAAAATGGAGCATTAAATAAAAAACATAGTATTAGCTTGTCTCTATGAATAATTTACGACAGGCATGGGCGAGTCATTTCGGTCGCGGGCCACATGCTCCACTACTACTACCACCCCATGCACATGAACAGCTCCGCGTGGAACACAGAAGAAATAATGTCATATCGTTTTTCGTGTCTCGTGGATGCGTGAGGGACGAGCCACGTAGGGTCGTAGGAGTGGGAAAGAGCCAGATTGGCTTACGGGCCGCGACTCGCCAATACCTGATTTAGATAATTCTTTCTCATTAAATTCGATTTAATTAGTTACAAAAGTTTGCAGCTTGATTGTTGTTATCTCCGATCGTCACTTCAGTAATATGTAAACTGTTTTAGACAGGTTTTGCGCAGTTCTGTAAACCATTGTCCAACAAATTTCTCCGCCTCCTACACGGAGCTTCCATACAGTCGCATTTACATGCTTACAATGTACAATCGCACTTACATGTCTGTAATGTACGATCGCAGTTACATGACAGGGTTATTTGTGGGAATAAAAAGTAATTGAACATTTTTAGTACTTTATTTATTTCAGTGTTCCTGTGAAATGTGGATATTAACGTGGCCAGTTATTGGCCTCTGTAGCCGGGATGAAAGAGTTTTGCAAGGATTTTGAATAAATACTAAACGAGGTAATGAAATATTTTGCATATCTCGCAAATAATTCTACACCTTTCGATTTCCGAGAATTTCACGCATAGTCATAGGGACTAAATTATACCGAAACAACTCTGGATATAATTTCTTAATAAGTGGAACCATGATATGTAATGTGAATCATATTACATAATTTACAATTGGTTTGAAACACACAGGTGAAAATGCATTTTTTGTATTCTATATTATTCTGTTTCTCTTTTTATGATGTAAGATTTGAGCAGCATTATATATAGCAGCGTTGGTTATTAGCGACTATTACTCATGTAATAGTCGTAGATTATTTATGTTACTATTTTGATGATTGTGTTAATCTTATCATACGTGTTTAATTTTTTGGCTTACGAACCACTCCGAAATGTATTGCCATGTATTGTCTCACACTCCGGCCCCTCGCATACACACATACACGAACGGATTCAACAAAAGTGTCATTAATGGCCTTCGTTGATTACGCTAAGCAATGGTTTGTAAACTGTTCCCAGCATACCTCTCCCAAGAGGACAATTCGCGTTTGATTGGAAATAGAATTTACCAGTACTGAAAAAAATAAGAAAAATATATATTAATATACAAGTATCTCTGTGATACAGAACAAAATACACGACACAATTGTTGCAGTCATAGAAGTTGCAACATCTCAGAAGTTTGATTAACATTGACCACGTACTTTCGTTTATAGTGAAATAAGATGTCTGTAAGCAACTTTAAGGAAATAATTAAATTATTAAAGTGCGTTCATTAAGTGTGTTTTCTTCTTGTGCTGAAAGTAAATCAACAAGTTGCTGTGCATCTTTATGTACAGTATTGATGTTCTTGAGGACATACGTATGTAGAATGGTCTGTCATATGTATATTCTACATACATATATGTCGATATGACATATACATAGATCGTAGATCGTGCAGCAACAGGTGGCGGAAACTCGAACACATAAATTCTTATGACAATTTCCGCAAAAACTAAACAGTAAAAAATAACAGTTTGGTCTTTGTTCTTCAACCAAAAAATATTCGATTTGGTATATTGAATGTCACGTTTTAGATTTCGTGTTTAAACTGAAAACTAAACAGTATATCGGATATTGTGGTTTACAGTTCTGTTTGCTATTAGAAAAGGTGGTTTCAGTCCCGTTTTTTTAGTTTCTTTTTAGTCGAAAGTAGAGTGTAAGAAAGAACAGTCTCATGTGATGCAATGACGTAATCTATTAGTAATTTAGTGGATGGGTTGATCATCTGATGTGTAGAGGACGACACAGATGAAAACAAATAGAGTTCCAAGTCTGACGGTTGCATGTTAAGTAAATTCTCTCCAATGGGAAGAAGAGATACGAGAGAGGTGAGATAAAGAGGTGACAAATTAAAAAAGTTAATGCTTGAATAAGAAAACGAAGTTGTAAGGAACATTTGAGCCAATATACCACGCACCACGGTGACCAAATTAAGTAATAAAGATTATCACGCGTGGAAGTTCAAAATAGAGCTGCTCTTGACAAATGAAGGGCTGTGGGACATAATAAATAAGGAAACCCTAGCACAACCGAGCAAGAAGTGGAAAGTTAAAGAGAGCCAAGCATGAGCAACCATTGAGCTTCTCGTTGATGATGAACAATTGAATATCTTGTGTTCTTGCTAAATTTATAACATACAGGTTTTAATTTATTTTTATAGTTAACTACAATTTCTTCAAATTTACGACTGCAAGAGTCAGATACACGCTTACTTCGAAATTATCATTTACTGTTGCAAAATTCAACATGGAGTGGAACGATTGGTATGCAAGAAAACAAAGAATATTTAATGTTTTGATTCGGTAAATGATCATTATTAGCGAGCCTTTCGATGTAGCATAACATTCTTTTAACAGTTAACGATCAAGGAACAAGCCTGATATTACGTGTTATTACTAGTGATTTATCATAAGCAGCCTAGTACATTTCCACCCACCTGTTGCTGATCGGATTTGCGTGACTCCGTAACACACCTTAACGCGGTAAACGTTTACGTAATTGTTCGAACAATATTAATTAATTAGTGAGCAAGGCATTTATAACATTTATGTTTCAATAGACATTACAAAATGATATATGGCATTTATAAGATTGAATTTAATTCCTAAAGTTTGCTCACGTTGAAAATACCTAACGATACAATTCGAAATTAGAGGACATTATACTAACATGTTACAAGGTCCATTCTGGCTCATCGGAATTATAGCAGACTTATCACAGTTCCCAGCTATAAAATCTTCCCAACTATTGCATCGTATACCAAGAACGCTGTTCGGGTGTAATGCAGATTCTCGAATAAAATCCCCAGCCCTAATATGGCTGCACATGTCTAGAAGGTCTGTTGAAATATTTCGGTAGTATTAAAATAAAGTAGCAAATGATTTTAACGATTAAGTTTACATACCTTCTGTTATTGGGCAACCTGGTTGTATTCTACGTCCACCGTTCGGATAATAGTCTTGATGACCACAGGGCACAATAGTGCCGGCATAGCCCATGTCAGAGTGAATGCATTTAACACAGCGCGCATCTGCAGCACTTATCGTACGCTCGGGAAACCCGAAAAGAGGACCAGCTGGGTCCATTGCTAGAAGAAGTAATAGTCGACTACTTACAAGCTTAATAAACTAACGTATTAGCCTCAAGTAAACCACAAATGTTAACCTCAAAAGTAGATATGATTGCGAAATGCTTAGGTCTCTACATACCCATTATCTGTGAGACTGTGAAAGACAGATTGCGTGCAATGTCGCCAATTATTTGACTACCCATAGAATGTCCACTGAGCACGAACGTTTCACTGTTCATCCCATTCGCTACCAACAGCTCGATACTTTCAATTAGAACCACAGCTACGGCCTCGATCAGCGAAACCACGGATATATAAAATCTGTATGTAACATATCTGTAATCTGCGACTATAATATTGCAGTCGTAACCGTCTAAGTAGGCTGCAACGTGTTCGAAAATACGAAATTAGCTGGGCTGCTGTTTGCTCTATTGCAATAGCTATACGTAACCGGGATTACGCCTTGCAATATTTTACGTGCAAATCGGGAAATATAGAAAAATATGTCGTTTCTTGGAGGTAAATAATGGCGTACCTTCTGTTATGGCCACGACATTTGGACTGTCTGCCGTATTCCGATAACCATGGCAATGCAATACTGTACACTTGGTCAAGTCCATGTACTGCAGAAGGTGTGTTGAATTTCTAGAGTTGACCTCTTTATACGTGTAGTTGCTACAAAGAAATATTTATTTCTTGCAATTTTATGTATAAATACACCTGTATATTTATTTATAATCCTATATATATGCCTGTTCAAAACCTATACATATAAACCTGTTCAATACCTATATATATACCTGTTCAAAATCGACATACCTGTTCAAAATCACCTGTATATTTATTTATAATCCTATATATATGCCTGTTCAAAACCTATACATATAAACCTGTTCAATACCTATATATATACCTGTTCAAAATCGACATCCCTACGCGGAACGGTTCGACTCCAGCTGAATGTGAGAGCGTACTCACGGTGTAAATCGGTACACGATGTCCAAATTCGGGCATCTTTGGCCGGAGCCGAACCATTACAAGTAACGCGAGCGAAACGTTACCACACCAGCACAGCACTAGAAATATTAGTCAGTGGGGAAAAGTGGAAGGTTCAATTCGGCCTACCTGAACCCCCGCGCCGTAATCCAGCGCGTCTTTCTGGCATTTTATTAGCAGCTTTAACATTAATTATCTCAAAAACTATAAGACGTCTATCGCCAAAACCATTGGATTCAGCTTTACAAGTTCTATCACTGTACCAAATCTCATCAAGAAATAACATGCGGTAGACTGTGGTACGCTGTAATCATTTTCTTTCTGTCGGGTGCTGATGTGAGGATTGTTAGTCACTGTTCCGGGTGTAACAATCTGTGTAACTTCTGACAGCTGCCTGTGTTAGCGTCGATGTAATTATCCTCGACGAATTCCACATACACAATTTCGAATCACAATATCACTAGAATGCTGATGTCCTAGAAATCTATCGCGATGCAATCATGCAATCATGCATGCTTTCCTGGTAATTATGTCGGCATTCTCCCAGGACCAGAAGCATAATGAGCATAATTCGATAGGCGCATAATGTGCCATAGTAATGTAGGATTTGATGGACGAATGAGTGCGTGTATGCGTGTACATGCGTGAATGCTACAAAATTCTACGAACGAGCGAAGAATACGAGTGAGAGAGCATGGACGAGAGTGCGTGAGTGAGAAAGCATGAGGCAGCCGAATTGTAAACGTATAAAATAATACACGAATTTCCTTTGCCGAATAAACATTTTCTTTTAGTTTCTTTTTATTATATCGGAGACTCCGTTATTTCAACCGATCCTCACCCCACAGTAAATTTAATCACTAGCGAAACTAAGAACATGTAATGCATGTTACGATGATACTGATACTTCCGAATGCGATTGTAATACGCTAGAAATTTACTTATGTAAACATAAGAGAAAACGATCATTATTGTGAGTTCGCATGATGTTTACGTACAATTCGAGGAAATACTCGGACTAGATAAATCTTGGAGACGTTTAAATGAGCTTGAACGACAAAAGTGTTCGTACACCAGAATAAAATTATGTCATTGTAAAATTCAGAATATGTTTACATGTAATTAAAAAACATTTCTTAGTCTTTAAAACTGTATAGGAATAAATAAACATGAACCTTTTTTCTTTAAGTAAATAGAGCATAATTATTACCTGTCTTCGTACAGTTGCGAGATAAGATACGTAAAAGCTCTATTATTGAAACAAATGACGAACTAAAACATTTGAATTCTTAATATTAATCGTAGAATGCCTTAGTAGTCTGCTAACAACGAGTGCAATAAATTCAATTACAGAATTAGTTTACAAATATGAGTCGCAATCAAAAACAAAGAGAAACGACTATTGAAAAGCGGGAAATTATTATTAATTTATTTAAGAAATAACATTGAAATAACATTCCACGATATAATACATTGTATGAAAATATAAAGAAGAAGGATGTGTTGTTAATAAGCTGCGTACGAGAAGATCCAAGAAGTTAGGAACTAAGGAAGGAAATTTTATATTAAGAAAAATAAAAGCGGAACCAACTACAAATGCAAGTAGAATTGCAACAGAATTACGAGAATTCGATGGAATTTATGTGCATGCTGAAACAATACGTCGTACACAATACATTGAAATAATTTTCATGCACGTACCGCAAAACGTAAGCTATTCGTGAGTGAAACTAATCGTAAAAACAATTGCAATTTACAAAAACTTATGTCGGTAAATCCACGTCGTTTTTGCGAAAAACTATATTTTGTGACGAAAAAGGTATGGAGAAGATCAGGAACTGTCTTTAATAAGAAGAATTTGCGAGCGAGTGTGAAAGGTGATGGTAGATCAATAATGGTATGGGCTTGCATGAGTGCAAAGGAGACGGACAATTTGCACATAATTGATGATATTATGAATAAATTTGTTTATCTAAATATGCTTAAAGATAACTTAAAAATTAGTTCCGAGAAATTTGGAATTTTGAATAACTACAACTTTTAGATAATGATCCTTCAAAATAATGATTACTTCAAGATAATAATCCTAAACATAAATTGTACTTAGTACAACAGTGGCTTATCTATAATATTCCCCATGTGATAGCAACATCTCCTCAGTCTCTAGATCTCGATCCAATTGAACATCTGTGGGAAGAATTGGGCCGAAAACGTAGAAGTATTAAAAAATGTATAAACAAGAAGTTCGAACCGGGATAAATCAAATAACATTTTAAAATCTAAATGGGGAGATATAAGTAATTAAATTTTAACCCTACAAAGTATTAATAGTCTTCAAATTCGTACTATTAATAAGTGTACGAAATATGTAAAGAAAAAAGGTTCGTGTTTATTTATTCCTATACAGTTTTGAAGACTAAGAAATGTTCTTTAATTGAATGTGCAAACACATTCTAAAAGAACGTTATGTACATACTAATAAAATTGTATTGAACAAATTTCGTTCTTGTGTACGAATACTTTTGTGGACAACTATATATGTTAACAGCATCGTACTTTTTAGAAAGAGAGAGTTCGAAAAGAATGACGGACAGTCTTTGACAGTTTTAAGATAGGGTCTTGAGATGGACGTGACCTCAGGAATGAGTGAATCTAAACAGACCTGTCGACGGACGATGCACAAGTGGTCGGTTTCCATACAACAAGTGAAAAAAAGTCTGTTTTAAAAATATATCCCCATAATGCACAATTTATTCATTAGTAGTCAATTAAACATATGGCTTATTATTTACTATGATCTTATTTACCATTTGTTCATTTTGGACACTGCTACATGACTTCAAAATAGCCTATCACCAAATCATCCTAAATTTATATCATCGTTTGTAATTATTTTGTTCTTTGAAAATAAATAATTTTTACAGAATTTAATGTATTTAGTATGTACTTAAATTATGTCACAGGACACTTTTTTTATCTCTCACATTTTTTGAGTTACGTTCAATTGAATAGTTTACATTTTCATTTCATTTTTTAATCATGAATTCGATGGAGTTCAATGTTCGTTTTGATCGCATTTTGACGAGTGATATCTTAAATTAATCACGAAATAAAAATTGGCTGCTATTAACTGCTATTGGAGAAATCACTTAATAATGATGCTAAATTGGTACGTGCCACGAAACACCGTGATACCTATCGGCTACCGAGTTACGCGAGATGTTTTCAATAGGTTGAGTAAAATATCAATATTTCAACTGTTCGCTCTCTTTTAAAACTAATGAGAATAATTATAAATTTTTTTCTTATTATATGCAGACTTTTGCTAACATCCGACTCGTTCATGTCGAGTATGAGGAAAAGAACGATCAAGAAACCGAAACCATTTCTCAAAGAAACAATCGAAATACTGGTTTCGGAACAATGTCCATAACATGAAAATGGAGATGTTCCATTGAACTGAATTGAATTGAAAACAAAAATTGCATTCTTAAAAAATTTATTTATAAACAATTAAAACACTGCATTTTGTTTTTATTATTCTATCCCAACAAAAACCCAAATATATATACTAGTAATATAAAATGAAAAAGTAGAGCTTAAATATATAATTTTAGTTGTTATATGTTTTTTTCGCTTTTTGTATGAAAATCGACCACTGTGGCGACGGTTGGAGACGATGTAGAGTCTTCCGACTATCGGGTGTCAAAGGTCGTCGAGTGAGACAATTTATGTTTGAAGAAGGCAAGTAGCCCGACGCCGCTTTGCCAACAAATTGGGACTTCGTTCCCGAAGGATCTGGCCACGGAGTGGGGAAGGCGATGCCTTCTGGTCAGATGACCGTGTGATCGACCTCTCGGCACTTACAACAGGAACCTTTCATGAACGAGAGGCTCGGATGTTTTACAATAATTCTTTACTGATTTTCTAACATATATACAGGGTGTCTCAAACATGTCTCGCATTCCGGAAATGGAAGGTACCTGAGGTCATTTGAAGTAACTTTTTCCTTAGCAAAAATGCAATCCGCGGCTTTGTTTACGAGTTATTAACGAAAAACACTGACCAATAAGAGGCTACTTCGGCTGGCGCGAGGAGGCCTAGCCAATGAGCGCACGAAGCCCAGTTCCGCTCATTGGCTGAGCTGCCTCGCGTCAGTGTTTTTCGTTAATACACTCCGCAGCTCGTTTCTCTCGAATCGACAGGGCCGAAGCTATATGTAATCAACCCCGATGGATACATCAGTGTTCTGTCTTTCTTTTCTGGATACTAATCGCCAAAAATAAGAAAAAGAAAGAAAGTAAAAAACCGTTTTTATTAAATTTTTTGCAAGGCACAAACGAGAAGCAGAACAAAAGGACTTTTGACATAACCTTGATATGACCTTAATAATAACATAACCATAATCTTGACTATTTTTGCGTCAGCATGCTACAAGTAACTTTAAATTTAATACAAATTTTTTCTATTTTTCTCCCTTTTATCATTTCTCGCTTTTGATACTAAACTTTCAACTATACAACAATTTTCAATGGAATTTTTGTTAATCGAAATCGATTAAAAGGTATTTCACACTTTGATGATTAGTATCTATAGAAATATATGAAAAAAAGACAGATCACTGAAGTACGATGATGAATTTTTTGTATAAATACAAAAATAGTACGGAGAAATTACGCACGTCGGCACTTTTTTAAACTTTGATATTAATTTATAGCTATTTAGGATCAAAAATAATTAATAAGTTGTATGCCAATATATTCGGGGAACTCTCTCCTCTATCTTTCAAGATCTATTAGAACTTTCTAATGTTTTTATATTTCATGAACTACCTCATTTTTGTCGAAAATTCTAAATTTTTACAAAAGCTTGTGTTTTTCGAAAACTACAGCAATTCGGCTTCCGGATTCTTGTTTGGGGAGTGAAGGATCACACAGTGACTATTGAAAAACAGGAAAAATGTTTCAATTTGTCGAACAGTGATTAGGCATGTCAGTTTCGTAGAAGCAAGAAATAATCTCGCCAGCAATTCGAAGCAAGAAACTTTTGAAATCAGCTGTTCCATACTAGCAACCTTCACGCCGTCCACATAGGAATGATCAAGAAAAGTCTCTGTTGCTTGTGTTTACTTTCATATACTGACACACATAACCTACCTCTTGAAGTAAAGGCGTAGGTTAATGGTATTGAGGGGCCATAACCAGTCTTCGATTATTGTCAAGGAACTAGGATAAGAAGTCGTGGTCAAAGTCGTAGCTGCGGACGAAGCAAATTGCAATTATTGTTAGTAGAATAGAGTATTGCGAACATTTGTTCTTTAAAATAATCTTTTAAATATACAAATTAAAAATAGATAGAACTAATTCACTTTAATTGGTTGTTTTGTTACAATGTTTATAGCCAGTCACGTCGAGAAGCATGTTGACACCTTTCCAAACGGAATAACTTTCTTAAATCTGATCCAAATGACTTGAATTTTGAAAAAAAACACAGTCGTAGATTCGTACCTTGAGAATTTGATGTTAGATCTCTTTTGAACGGATTAGGATACTCACATGCTAGAAAACAGCAGCAGAGAACAAATGCGAAGTACCAATGTTTTGCCATTTTGAGGATAACAGTAAAACCCGCGTGTTTAACCCGATCGCCGCACGCTGGAACTGTGTGAACCAATTTGGTCAAATATGCATCGCGGCATTATATATTACATTGGTATTATCTGTCGTCCGAGCGTTGCATATTCACACATCAATGACGTTATATACCGAGGTTCAGAAGGACGCAAGAATTATAATATTCGAAAAATGTAATATATTTTTATGAATGCAATCATTGTTATGACAGATAGTTCATTTCTACATGTCAAACAAAACCATTTATTTAAAACTATCATCTTCTCACATGAAACAAGTAATGTGAAACATATTCCAAACATTTATGACGTTATACTTATGGCATACAATGAGTCACAGAAGTATTTACTAACTAAATGACTTGCATTTTTTTTAGATGACAGAGGGACTAGTCAATAGACGATGTCTAGTCTAATAAGACTAGTCTAATAGACTAGTCTAATAAGACGATGGCTAAAAAACTTTTTTTTAATTTTGCCATTACTTGGAATGAAAAGAAAATATTAAAAACCTACGTTTTTTAACTTTTTTATCTGAGCCTATAACGATAATTTAAAAAATGCCTTTTGCAGATCTCAATAACTTATATGCGCGCTGAAAATTTGATCGAAATCGGTTAAACCAAAGCCGAGATACAGGCGTTGAAGGATTTTAAAAACTGCAGACTTCTTAGAGTTTTGGGTAAAAATCGTGGTAAAACTGCGATTTTTGCGATCTTTAATTTATCCTAACTCGTAACAACGTGAACCGATTTCGATAAAATTTTCAACATGCATATAAATTACCGAGATCTACGGAAGACATTTTTTAAATTTTCGTTATAGGCTCAGATAAAAAAATTAAAAAACGAAGGTTTTTAATTTTTTCTTTTCATTCCAAGTAATGGCAAAATTTAAAAAAAGTTTTTTAGCCATCGTCTAATAGACTAGTCCCTCTGTCATCTAAAAAAATGCGAGTCATTTAGTTCACTTCTCAAAAAGTTATTGCGTTTTAAAAGATGAGCGAATACTTTTGTGGTCCACTGTATATATATTATAAAAATTACTAATGGAATAAGTTGTACTGTCTTATAATATCATAAACTATAAAATATTGCACTTTCATAAAACTGTCATCTAAAAATGATGGAAAGCACAGTTGTGTGACACTTTCATTCGCATAAAATTATAATTATCGCCTTTAAGTTTATGCAAACATATTAAACAAATTGTTAAAGTTTGTGCAAGGAAAAAACTTTTGTAAAAGTAAAAGGAAACTTTTCGTAATAACTCTTCCAAATGATCTACCAACTATGAAGTAATCTAAACTGATAACGTTAGACGATTTACCGCTCAAATTCTAACGAAAGTTAAAAGAGTAAAAGAGCAGATTATCCGGGAACAGAATAATACGTGTATATTAAAGAAATGGAACAAATGCTTGCCTATTACCTTGGCGATTCAATGTTTCTTGATATTTCGAGATAATGCAATATTTTACGAAGGTCTTTGCTGTCACCTCGATGGTCAATGTTATCACTCACAAGAAACTCCCGAAGAACCGCGACTATTAGATTCCAGAAAAATGACATGTTATGTTAATCCTTGTTACACCAAGCAACAAATTTATACGAACAAGGGATTAAGTTCCAAATACTAAAAAACGTACTATTATGTTTTTATAATTAATAATGTTCTCTTCGTCATCAGTATCAAGCACCATTAAATGAAAACGTTTTCTTTTCCATAACATATCTTCATCCACTAAACATTCTTTAACATTATCTTTCTGTTAACAATTTCAATTGCTGAAACGGTATTAGAACGAAATATAGCTGTATCGTATAGCTGAATGTATGTATGTATTATTATGTATTATGTGAGTATTACCTGTAATAAATAGAACTGTTAATACAAGTATAAACACTTTTTGCAAAAGTTAATTAAATCCATGTAGTTTTCAGAAAATCTTATTTGGAATCTTGTCGACTATTACTGAGAATGAATAGGAATTTCTTTATGTGTCTGACCATGGTTCACTGTTTCCACTTCGAAATGCATTAAAGCTCAAGAAGCGATCGAATTTCAGTTACATAATTCAAACCTTCCAATGCATTCAACTGCTAATTATTTGAATCACGAGTGTAATTCAAATACAGTGCAACTGAAATGCAATGTAATAGAGATACAATTCTTCAAATTACAATTCAAAACTTCGAAGAAGTGAGATATACATATTTACGTTTTTTTTCACATACTCATGCTTTGTCCCTTTCGCAGGACATTTTATTACCCTTTAATTTATTATTTTTTAATTCGTAATTTTCATTCAATTACATTGTAATTCGTAATCTTCATTTGATTACATCGTAATTCGAAATTAATGTAATTCAATCGCTCAGTATTTTGCAATTGTAATTTCAATTAAATTTAAAATACATTTGTAATTTAATTGAATGGAGATCCGAATTACGAATTACAATGTGATTGAATTATAATTTGTAATTATAATTCATAACTCATAATAACTTTGTAATTATAAATCTCTGGATAGAGAATTAAGAATTTTGTAAAGCTGTTCCATTTTATAATGTATCAAGGCTATTATAAAATTATATTGTCTCTTATCTTAATACAAATTTTTTTGGACGTATTATGGTTGTACTATGTAACGTATACCGTGCACTAAATTCTGGACATTTGCAAAATCTGACCCTTCAAAGTAATCAGGTTAATGCATCGGTGTTTTTCCGTTCGAGTCCAGTTTCGATATAAGTTGTTCAGCATTGCAGACGTTAATCTATTCGTAAACAACGTCTCTAAAAGACAAATTTTCTTAATTGCAATCTCATAAATAAGATTCAGCTGCGATTAAAGCTGTCGTCATAAAACTTCGGATGTTTATGCATCCATCTTAAATACTACTACTTGAAGTTGAACAAAACCATAACCAAAAAATTTATATTAAAAATGGAAGCATTACATACTTTGATCTACTATGATAATAATTATTTTACGCGAGCAACTTTTTTTAGTTTATTATATTTTTCGTCTGGAAAAATGTTAATGTCTTTATAATAAAATCGCAAATTTATATTTGCAGAAACAGCTTAATTTCTTAACGATTGAATTTGCTTGTCTGCAGAAATGATTTGTCAGCACTAAGAACAATGAAAGTCAGGTTTCAGTACACGCATAGGAAATTGAATATAAACCATACACATATATTAATGTATCTAAATGAAAAATATTTAATTCTTGTACACGGTCAATTTTCTAACATGTCAATTTTCTAATATCGATTCTTACACTTGTATCAAACATTATTTCTATTTATAATTATTTATTTAACATAAAATCTAATAAGAAACCTACGTATGAACATATGCGTCACGCACATCAATCAAAGTTATGTATTAATGCAATTACAGACTACATAATATCTGTATCGTCGTGTGTTTTACTCATTCGCGAGAGAATTAATTACTACGCATTGTAATCGACAACGCAGTTAATTACGTATTATATAACATAAACAGTGATTACATATAATATGTCATCCATATAGTATGTTTAGGTCTACGTTATAGAATTAAAAACACCGAAAAACAGGATATTATAAAATGTTGTGTCAATTTTTAATGCTTGTCCGCTTAATGCTTGCTTGTTTGGAGGAGGCAAGTTAAAAAACATTATACTAACACATCGAATGGTGCATTAATTTCGATCGTACTTATGTCGGAAAAGCTACATTTTACAGTCTTAAGATCAATCCAGCTATCACATTTTATAGCCAACAGACTATCTGGATCAATCAACGTTTGTTCCGCAACAGCCTCACCTCTAAAATGACTGCAAATTAGCCCAAGATCTGTGAAAAGAGAATGTTCATCATAATATTCGTCATACGGAGTGTCTCACCTAACTCGGACATCTAAAATACCTTGCTTGTTTCTTATGAACATATTATGATGGGCAAAAGAATTTGTTCAAGGTTATATCTTTTGAGATTTTAAGGTCATCGAAGTTTTTAAATGAATTGATATATTTTTACCACCGCTGTATGATAGTCGAGGTTAAAATGAGTTCAACGATCTATAATGTTATGACCTCCACGTAACCTTGAACAAACCTTGTCAATCATAACATTTGCTACTTTTTCTATCGTAAAAAATAAGCGAGATATTTTAGATGCTCGAGTTTGGTGAGACACCCAGTATAGGTAAGAACGTTATTTTGTTAGCAAAATAACCATAAATACGTTACAATACAAATAAACACATCGTAAATAAGAAGCTAACAGAGTTCATTTCATCGTTTATATAATACATTGTAATAATAGGAATGACAATTAAATTCATTAATTTAATTAAGTTGGATTAAAACGGTCAATATTTGGAAAATATTTAATAGTTAGCGCTTCTCAAGGACTTGAATAATAGAAAAACTGAATACATCTCGATCTTTTGTTATACAGGGTGACCCAAAATTATGGTACTTCCGGAAAATGAGGGGTTCCTGAGATCATATCAAATAACTTTTTCCTTTAAAAAAATTTTCTCCGAGGCATCCTTAACGAGTTATTAACGAAAAACACTGACCAATGAGAAGTGAGCTCAGCTAGCGCCAGGTGGCCGAACCAACGAACTAACGAAAACCTGTTCCGTTTATTGGCTCGGCCGTCTCGCGCCAGCTGATCTCGCCTCTCATTGGTCACTGTTTTTCGTTAATAACTCGTAAACGAAAAGTCGCAGATTGCATTTTCGCTAAAAAAAAAGTTACTTCAAATAACCTCATGAACCCTTTATTTCCCGGAAATACCATAACTTTAGGATATCCTGTTTACATAATCAGAGGATAGTTGTAACCGGAAGTCATCCTAGACCGAAAGTCAAGAATCATAACAAAACAGAGTAGTAAATAGCAATAAAGTGAATGTTACTTGTTTTAATATTATTATTAACATTCATTCTGAATGAAAGTGTTAATTGTCTAATCTGTAATATGTTGGGCTCATCATAGTTGTGAGAGAAAAAATCCATCATTTGAATAGACCGCATGAAATATTGGTTC